GAACTTTTGAAGTCATCACCAAGTGGTCCCTAGCTAACTTCATTTTCAAAAAATTAAGTACACTTCTCAATATCAGCTGGAGGATCCTTTGCAGGAAATTCAGAATTCTGAAAGAGTATGTGAAGAATGTCCTGTTTACATTTATCCAGCTACATTTAATGAGTTTTCCTGTTATCTTCATTTGGGCAGGCCTTCCACATTTTTAATACTACCCTTTTCCTTGTGATACCGTCTTTAACTTTCCTATCGAGTAACACACATTTTTTACCCCACGGCTTTAGTTGGGCCTTTTCTGAACTACAATACAAAGTCTACTCAAATCTTTAAGATGGCATTTTCAGAATAGCCTCCGGGTTGCTAGTAGGCATGGGTATCTTGCTTGCTTGACCATCTGTCTCTCTCATTCAGTTCCCTGTCCTGAAGTTGAACACCTGTATAATAGATTTACTTGGATTGTTCTCTCCTAGTACAACATTAAGACAGTGATCATTCTCTCCTCCTCTGACCTCCTAGGTCTTGTGCATGACTCAAGCCCGTTTCCAGAACAGTTTCTTTTCACATTGGTTACAAGAATATCATAGACAGTCATTTGTTACATGCAAAGCTTTTATCTTCTCATAACATCCTGATAAGGAATCGATTCAACCGATATGCGGGTAGTTGAATCTCCTGCTTCATTGCCACAAAATTTGCAGCTTCTCTAATCTCACTTAACATTTTCTCATCACCAACATCAACTGATCAGAGAGCTATTAATACAGTACAATATTATATTATTAGAAGGAATTTCCATTCACAAAGTTTCGCACGGTAGGCTTCTTTTCCCGCCATGAGATTTTCATGCTGCTACACTTCATGCTGTCTTTTATGCAAAGTGACACTCCTCTGCCTGTATGTCTAATCATTCCGGCAAAGTTGGCAGCATATTAACATCATACACCAGTGATTATTCTCCTTCCATCAGGCTTCCAACACACCTATCATAAAGCATTGATCATTTGATAACAAGCATTTTTGTTTGTTCATTTTATCTTTTAGGCTTAAGATAGTATAAAAGAACATAAAAGGTTTGCTCCAGCTCTGCTGCTCAGTATTTCACATACCAGTTAACTTTGTCATATGTTCAGTTTAATGTTTTCAAAGAACTACAGTAAGAGATTCCTTTGATACCATTGTTGCCAAAAAGGCTTTTCACAGATTTTCTTCACTGATCAGCACCCATGAGTATAATCCTGATAAATTTTAAACACTTGATACTTATTATTTCATTCGCTTTCAAGGCTCTAACTACCCTTTATACCAATCCTTCTTTTTGCCTTTAAAAAGTTATCAGAAAACCAAAGATCATTCATGCAAACCATTTACAATCATCATCTTTTTTTCAGAACTTCTCAATAACTTTTTTTTTTTTTTTTTTATTCCCTCCTCCCCTTCCCAGCCAGGGAGAGCACTGTGGAGCATACCCTACTTCTACACTGATGTCTAAGATAGTGATTTCACTCCTCACTTTTATTCTTTCTGCTGCTGTCACAAAGCTAATGATTTGAGGGTTCCAGAATCTTCTGTTTGTTTGTCTTGGGGCATCTCACAATAAACTCTCATGTTTTCTTGCAAGTATTTTAAATGTATGTACACTTTTCAGTCACAATCAAACCTTTTCTCAAGTATTCACACTGAAAATATTTCATCCACACATTGATTTGTATTTCCAGATTCTGTACTAATATTCTCCTCCCACATTCCCTGTGAAGCAGTAAAATAATATGGTTTTATGACAAAGGAGTTGGTTTTCCATTATGCCCATGCCTACTTCTTTCATATATATATATGTAATCTTACATTTCAAGATTACAAATTTATTCTGAGATAAGAATAAATTCTGAGTCAATAAATAAATTACATTTCATTTTCAGTAAGTTGCTACAAGAATACCATCAGCATTTCATGGTTTGATACTTCTTATTGTTTCAGCTCAAAGTTTTAATTTTTATTAAAAAATGTTGCTTTCACAAAACGGTTCAATTTCTGAGAAGTGACAAAACAGCTATATAGCAATTTCAAAAATTTACTGGAGTACTGGAGTACTGGAGTACTTTTTCAGATTGGGGCTCCCCACTTCAAAAAAAAAAATATAGATATACTAGAATGACTACAATGGAAAACCATCAAGATCATTAGAGGGCTGAAACAGAAGACACAGACAGAAAGGCTGGAGAGCTCTCAGTCCTGAGAAGAATAAAGGGCAAGGGAACTCTTACTGCCGTCTCAAACTACCTAACAGACGGCTACAAATAAGAGGGAATTAGATTCTTCCTGGAGGTGCACAATGAGGAACAGGCAACAGACACAAGTTGAGACAGGAGATATTCCAAGAAAATGTTATGAAAAAAATTTCACCACAATGCTCACAAACACAGGAACAGGTTGTCCATCCATACATATCAATCTTTAGGGATAACTCAAACTCAGCTGGACAAAGCCTCAAGCAACATGAACTAGGCTGACGCTCCTTTTACAAAGGTGATTTGACCGAATGACCTCCAGAAGTCCCTTCCAAACTAAATAATTCCATGATTCAAGAACATATCTCTGACATCTCCAGATATCCTCAACAAGAGTGATTCTTTTTTTTCTTCCATGTATAGTCTTTGCTCCATGTTACTACTCACTATTTTTCCTACACTCTGAAGCTAGACCCTCTTTTACTTTTGTATTCTTGCAGTAATGTTTCTTTCATACCTCCATAACATCTTCAGTTATTTCAATTGATTCAATACCCATTCAGAATCAACATAATTTATAACTTCTGTACAAACATCTGCTAAAGCTTCAAATCTATTCTATACTGTTCTGTATTCCTTTTTCTAGTAGAAACTCCTCTATGGATTATTTACATACACATAAGACTTCCTCTTCTGGATCAACACTGAAACACTTTTGGCACATCAGCTGGCAAAAGGCAGCAACTGAACATTTGAGTACTTCAATCTGATTTTACTTAATCAGAATAAAATTCACTTAAAGCATCATTGAACATTCTGGTCCCTGCTTCCACAACTAGATACCTCTTCTCACACAATGACTTCAATGAAAAGAGTGCATAAGCAGACCCTTCAACAGAGTGGAAACCAGCTCATTCTTTGCATGCCGTCATTTGGCTATAGAATCATTTTCAGCTTCTTGTCTTTCTGGTTTTAGAGACAAAGCTTTACAAATAGTCAAGGACTGTTCCCAAATTGAGTCTAGTGAATAGCTTGCTGATTCTACTTTAAAAAGCATGGTGTTAAATCTCTTCAAGACTGAGAAGTGAAGAAAACTGGATGTCTCCAATTTCTTCGGCAAGTTTTGTTATAATCAATGTTATGTGTAAGCTACAAAGAAGAATGTCATGAGAAAAAAAGCAGTTACTCTGCTGACCTTTGTACTAGAATTCGTGCTGTTAACAAGAGACACTGAGATGCCTACTTATGTGTTTAAGCATTCATGCAAATTTCAGTAAACCACTCACTTGAACAAAGATGAAATTTAGTTCCACGTTACCCCTTAGACACTCACTTGCTGTTCTAAAAATCTTTAGTGTCTCCACTTCCTTTGAAAAATTAAGATGATAGCACACTTACATCACCCATGTGAGATGGAAGAGATTTCAAAGCTTAAAAAAAAAGATTAAGCGGTAAGTTCCAACTATGAAAAAAAAAATTGCCCCTGCAGGCTACAGTCTTTTAATTGTGTCTTTCGTGTTCATGTCCGTGTTGTCCCATCCCCCCCTCCATCAGTCTAAGAGTATACTTGACTGGTTTTTCAACTGTAGATCAAACAACTCTTCTCTATTAGATTTTGTCAAAACAATGTATTCAGTTCATTCAGTTAAACTTTGAAGGGATGTTAATCTTGTTAACTGTAATGTTCTTGCTGTCTGTGGAGATTCACAATCCTCTTCTGAGCCATTAACATGTTTGGCCTGAAGATCATCTTGTCTCCCAAATTTTACTGTTTAATTACACATAGGAAACAGTACATCCTCCAGTGGCTTTTAAACTTTCCAACTTATTAATTCAGGGAACATTCTTGGGAATTCTCCTAACATTATAAAGGCACCACAATTATGTCTTTGACTTATTCTAATAGATTCAAGCAAAAAAGTCTACGGTATGTAAGGTTTTCTTGCCTTTTTATCATTGTACAATATTCTTATTGTTATTAAGCATCAACAGTAACAAACTGTAATAATCAACTCAGTAGAAATACTGCTAGAGCATAGAAGTCTGCTTTGACAAAAGTAGAATAAAGTTCTTGGTTATAAAAAAAAATATTGCATAATGCACACTAAAGCATATAAAACCAAATAAAATGCAGAATCTTGAGAATGCCATCCACTATATTAAATAAAAATATCAAAGTGAAATTTGTAAAACAAACTAAAAATATAATGCCTTTTCAATTTGAAAAGGAATTAATCATTGCACCCCTTTGGCTGCCCCAAAGTACTAAGTCTCTGATACCAGTCAAGGGGGAAGGTGAGGGGAAGTCTCAAGAAATAACAGTGGAAATATCGACATTTTACACATGGGGCAGAATAACCTAAACTACTAGTGAGACGACTTCCAGAAAGGAAGAAAAGGTTTAAAGCCAGGAATATTGTCAAATACTTTGTTCTTCCACAAGGCTTTAAAAGCTGAAGAAGCTAAGCAAAATACCAAAGGAGATCAGTGTTCCCACATGTTTATCAGAAAGTAGAACGTTTCATTAAAAGACTCTCCTCCTTCATGGAATCAAAACACATCAATTATCATATGCATTCTGAGGGTAAACACATCATCTTCTGGACTCTAGATTAGGTCCCAGTAATTTATTAAAGTATTCTGACAAAATTTTATAAATATTTTTTTCAAATGTGACTGAATAAAAGCCTGTATTATCTGGAAGCATTTCTTGGGTTTTTTTGGTAAGGTTTTCCTTATAGGTCACACAATTTTTGTCACCCTTTAAGTAAAATAGTTCAATATTACTCTTTTAAGCAGTCTAGGATTTTCAAACTTTTTTTCTTCACACCTGCCTCTTAAAAACCAGAACAATAATGTTATATTCTGAAATTTTTCATATAGTATTTAAGCCTCAAGAATTTTAAAGATCTCTCTAAAAGCTGAAAGTTCAAGCAATCAATTACTTACCCCTTTTTTGACAACAAAATGTAAGTTCCAATTTGCAAAGCATGTCAGCATTCTCATACTTGTCCTCTTCTGCCTTAACCCAAAAACAGGATTCTGTCATTTCCTGAGGTCTGATCTATAAGCAAGAGACAAAATAAAATTTTATTAATTAAACTATTCTGATACTATGTAGAGATGGTGTTCTGTAGAGTCTAAAGCAAATTAAATACTTAAGAGCTCTGTAAAATACTTGAACTTTTGATATGTAACTCATCTTTAGAATTGTTAATATATTTCTGATTGAAGATAATAATGCTTACAGTAAGTGCTTTTGGACAAACTTATTTTAAAAATACAAAGCAATACAGACAACAAAGTCTGTTATCCAAGGTCTAAATGTAGCAAATTATCTTTGGTCTACATTTAAAACTTGGGTAAACTTTGAATACTCTCTGAACACAGCTGGTTTAACTAGATATTAAGTACTTTACTTTTTAGATTGTAGCTTTGATTGCTTCATAAAACTCTGAAAATCTGTTTACTGACTTATTTTGGTCTAAATAATTAAGTGCTTCCAAAACTCAGTAGATTGATAGTCCTGGTATACTTGATCTTGTCACAATGTAGAAGAAAAAAAAAACAAAAAACCTCTGGGGTTTTTTTTAACGAATAAATTTACATAAGCACCTTTACCCTAAGGACAAATGGAGAGACCCGCAACGCTTCTTCTCACAGTCCAGGCTAGATAGATGCAAGGCATTTGTTTGGAAACTGTACAGTTACCAGTATAGTGCAGTGACTGATCCAATGTAAACACTTTGCTAAAAGACAAGGCACAGTAAGACCCAGGAAGCATGCCGGTATCAAGGGTGTATTATTGCAAACCAGAACTGACTTTTCCAGGCATCTCAGAAAGCAAAGAGATACTTGCCCAGATGATTCATGAGTCAGTGAAACGTAATTTTCGGAAAACAATGAAAACTAAAGGCAGAAAGTATTTATATCTTACATAATTTTAACTAATGTTATAATTGCTCTATATAGTCTTACTCCTGACAATGCTATTTACTCTAAGCTCTATGTAAGATTTTACATCAATTGTTTGCCATTAATCACTACTACCTTGGACCAGTTGAGTCTTTTCATGGTAACCTCAGGTCTGAATTCTTTTTTAGGTTTCATTCCAAACGGCAAAGTACACGAAGGTGGAGACCACTGTGCTCCAAGCAAGCCTGGTAGAGGTGGTGGTGGAGGAGCACCACCAAAAGCCAGAGGAATTCCCAAGCCATTCAGAAGTGGTGGAGGAGGAGGGGGAGGCGGTGGTGGTGGGATTGCTCCGTTAGAAGGCAGTGGTGGAGGAGGAGGAGGCGGCAGCACTTGATGTGGTCCTGCAGCTTCCAGTGGAACAACAGATGCATCTCCATGTGTTGATGGTAGAAAACCAGGTGGCAAGGAGCCATACTGATAAGGAAAATATTCTTAGTCAGTTTTACATTTTTTTATTGACAAAATTCCAGAGCATCATAGTTTATAGATTAAATCCAGCAAGCCAACTGAACGTGTTATTTTTCTTGTACAGGACAATCAAATATGTATTATAATATATTATAATATAACGTTCTTCTGATTTCATAATTAGAAGCCTCAATATTTGAAGCAAACGTTCAGACTAGGGGGCGCACACCAGAAATGAAAAACTGAAATACTATATCCCATTTCTTCTATTTCACTGATCATGATCTAAGAAGTGTCTGATAGGTACCTTGATGCAATTTTATCTAGACTACCACAGTTTAGCTCAAATTAAAAAAAAAATAACATCCAAGTCCCTAGTGTTCTTTCTTATCCTAGAGATTACAGAGAAATATTCCAAGGAACATAACAGCAGAATCTGACAACACTAATAATTCTGTTGAAAAACACACATTTTCCAATATAGAAGCATTGTCGTTCTACAGAACTGAATGCACAAAGTCATTATTAAAAAAACCTTCCAAAAGATACAGGTCTCTTACAGTGCTTCATTAAAAATGCAGACATATAAAACTAGTGGCCATTGTATTTGTTAAAATAGGAAACATTACCCTATTATAACTACGTGGATAGGAAAAGTAGTAACACAATATTTTATAGTACTTAAGCGGTTTTGAAAACTATATTAACAATTCATAAGATACCGCACTGATTTCTTATTATATATATTAAGGACATCTATATTGTATTGAGATGGGCTTATTAGCACTTCATTAAGTCTAAAGAAATACATTTATTTCTACTATTTGAAGAACTTGTGTCATAGGTCTTCAAACGTTAATAAATATGTACCTGACAAAAAAACCAAAAGAATAAAGCAATATTTGCCTACTGGTGATACTGATTAATACTGCTGATAGTATTAATCAACTTTGCAACTGATAATTATGAGCTGAAACAGTCCATTTTATTTTTAAAAAAACAGAAGGGAATACAGTAAGCAAAGGATTTCATTTTTTAAAAGGAAATAGCTGAATATCAATACATACAAATAAATAAATGCACAAGAGTATTATTGTTTTGAACTTCTGAACATATGTATTGTTTACACTAACAAGTAGACACTGAACAACTAGGATCTAATAACAAAAGAAATACATGAACAAATACCAACTACAATAAAAGAATAAAGGAACCAGACCAGGAGAAAGATAGTCGTAACAGGCAGAAGTAGCCATGCTAAGTAGCAACTGATGCCATATGGAAACCAAAGACTCCTCTTAAGATGGATTTAAGACTAAGAGTAATAATTTGCAGTAATTAATTACTTGATATTTACAAAACATTTCAAGTAACATTAACAGTGGGATAATTCATAGTATGATAATTCGTGAGTATAATCATATGTTATGCTCACTGCACAGTAAAAAAGCTATATTTAATACAGCGAACAAGAGAAAAAAAATATCTAAGAAAAAACCTATTTTGCTCACAAAAAAAAAGTACTTAAGCATGTTTTCAAGATACACACATAAAATTACTTTCTTAATGGATGAGATACAGGTCTCACTAAAATTATGTTTTTAAAAAGCAACAATTTTTGTAATTGCTTTTTTATAAAGCCTGTTTGACTTTGACATTAACAGTTAATTCTGACTAGAAACCTGAATTAGAATGACATTTTCAAACAGACGAAAGCAGTGCTAAATTTTCTTCACTAAGAAAATTAAACAAGCTCAAAATTAGAAAAAATTCCTCTATGATCGAAACATATATTTTATCACCTTCCTATACGCATGTCTTCCCAGTTCTGTCTTTCATTAGCCATTTTTAGATTGTGCCTCTTATTCCAGGAAGTAAGACACAGGAAAAATCGCTTGGTCACACAGCCTCCTTATACAGATTTTAGAGCTGAAGCAGTTACAAGTTAACTCAAGTATTACTCTCAAAAATCTCAACTACTCCTCTCCATCACTTTTTAAAATATCTATTTATGCTTGAAAATTGAAAAATTATCAGGAAATGTTCTTATCCAGCCACAGGTTATTTCTTCCACTGCTGGATATCCATGGTAAGGCTTCAGCAAAGCAAACTGAGTAATGAATAATTTCCTGAGGAGGGATACAGATCACAGTGATGAATGCTAATCTAAAAGCATAAGACTTATTACCCTATGTGGTTAATTACTTCAGAAATATATGATACTGAAAGTAAAACCCAAATGAAACATAAGAAACTAGTTTAATTAACAGAGCTCGGGCACAAAAAGGATGATGTGGGAACTGAAATACCTAATTAATGTCACACTACAATTCTTTGTATAAAATAGATATAAGGGAAACTAACAGTCAATAATAATCAACAGGATTCTTTGAGAAAACCCTCAACTGCACTGAGTCTGCAAAAGATGCAAAATGAAGTCCATTTCAAAAGCAATACTTCATACATTCATTTAAGCTGTCCTATACCTGTGATTTAAAAGCTTGTAATTCTGCTTCAAGTTCATTGATTCTTTCTTCTTTTTTTTGCAGCAGGGCCTGGGTCTCCTGATGAACTACAAAATCTTTTTCAAACTAAGAAAAAAAGTAAAAAAAATAAAATTGTTGATACAAGTCACTCTGCATAGTTTCCCTAGATTCCAATTTTTTCTTTTTGTGTTTCTTAAAACTCTTGTGTTAACAATACTAAGGACACGTACAACATATCTGCTGTTCTAACCTCCGTGTATGCACTGAGTGGAAGTACCATCTCTGTTACCACTACAAGCCTTTACTATATGAAATAGCATAAAGTACTTAATGTGTTTTAAGTTGGACTTAGGCAGAGAAGCTTGAAAAAATTATGTACAGTAATACAGAGTCCGTAGATAGGAGTGAGTCAGTTCTTATTCTCCCACTGTTTATCTTGTTGAAGAAACTGATAGCTGTTCAAATAAAATATCCAGTTGATTTTGGGGACTTTTGTAAATGAAACATTAAAATAAATAGCAGAATGACTCTCCGTTAAGGTTAACTACTTTATACCACTTTGCTCTGCTTCTCAGTCCATAAGAAACATCTAAATTCCTGCTTAAACATAAGAACAAAAAGTAATTTGAAGTTAAAAACCTTGCAACTTTCAGTTACACTATTCACAAAGCTATTATGCAATCCCTTGTGTCCATCTTACGATCACATAACTTAAAAATAACTTACTTTTCTGGAAAGTTCAGAAGCTCTCTCTTCACATTCTTCTAATCTTGCTTTATCTACACAAATATCTTGAAAAAATTAACAAACACAATTACACATATAGAGGGAACACAAGATTCTCAGTCAGATATACAACTTTAACCTGGGTTTTGGAACATATAAAGAAGTATGATACTGTGTTCATTTCTAAGCATAGTACTTACCTACTAAGTGGCTGAAGTTTATATCTAATCTTTTACGGTACGTGAAATCTGGGTCTGTTCCATTTCGATGTAACACTATTTGGGACACACACTCTTCAATTAATTTGAAATACTGTGGACTAAAGATAGAGATGAGTTCTTTTGCAGCATATTTATTTATTACTGTATACTTAAAATCATGTCTATGAACACAGTAAGATTTGGACTGACTTATTTCCATAGAAGGATAGGTGCAAAGCCCAGAAGTCTCAAAGGACAAATATACCTGGCAGCTTATTACACAAGAATGGTTTACATAAAGCCTGAAAAAACAGAGGACCTAAAGGTAAACCATTCTTGTATTATAAACTCTGCATCTCTCCCCCTGTGGACATACAGGAAGGAAGGACTCCTTCCTATTTCCTCCTAGTAAGGAGGATCAACTTGATCCCTCCTGGTTTTGTGACTTCTGTAACTATGGATACATTGCAGCCCTGCTTCAATAAGAGGAATGAAAAGCACATTGTTCTAAAATGCCAGGGGCTATGACAGCTGGGTCACTTGCCCAGAACATGCAAGCTGTGAATTCAAGCCCCTTCCGGTGGAAGAGGTCTAGGCACAGGTGTACCCATGTCAGACAAACATTTTTAACCTTTAAGGGTACATTTATGCTAGACCTTGCCTGAAATGCAAAGTTATGCAGAACACTATGCAGAAAACAGACGACTTTGCATCCCTGTTCAGTTCACATCTGGTTCCTCAAGTGCTTCCTCAACAACACCACAAGCAGATTTTAGAAAGGAGAGGATTTGGCAGCTTCAAACATCTAGGATTTTATTAACTATTTCCCTGTAATTTATCAGACAAATTTTCCAAGAGATACTAACGTGTTCACAATGACCTATAATGTATATTGAGAATACTAAATTCACAACCAAAAGTTACTCTAAATTAAGCACATGTTCAGATTTCTGTATAAAGTGCACTTCTGGTGTACTTAGTTTTGTCCTTTACCTCAAACACACCACAAAATTACAATGCTACTACCATGATTTATAGCAAAAAAAAGAGACCTGATCACTTATACTTGCAGTCAGTGAGATTCAGATCTTAACAAAAATAATTTTCTATTTTTATATAGAAAATTGTATCCTAAGCAGAAGAGACAAAAAACATGTGGACAGCATTCTTATTCAAAGCTGATACTTTTAAACATGAGTTCACAAAGGAATACTTATGAACTGCAATTCACACAGAAAAATACTAAACTGTATTTATCATTAAATTTATGGAAGAAATAGCCTATTAATGACTAAATGACAACAAAAATCCATAATTATCGTTTAACATAGCATTAAACATACCGTATAAAATAATCGTTTCTTATCAACAGAAGATGTTGGAGAATAGAAAGAAAATATCCTTCAGCACTAGTGTCCTTAACTGTATTCCACACCATGTTGTAAACATCATTTACTTCAGTAAAAGACTTAAGGAGAATAATAGCAGGGAAAAAATATTTCAGTCAAATGTTGACTGATAACTTTTTTTAAACAGAAGTTATACCAGAAAAATGTCCATTATACACTTTAATTTGTTTGCATTTCTCTTGCTGGTATCAAAAGGATATTCTAGTTCAGATCTAATGTCTTCTAAACGATGAGAGAACTCGATCATGTCTTCTTCCTTATGCTCATTGAACACTTTCAGCTGAATGTCTAGTGCTTCATTCTTTATACATTTCAATTGCTGCAAAGAAGAAACAGTAGAAAGGCTTGCAAAATTACGATTTCCATATGTAGATAAACATTATCTTTTTAATAACTTCCATAAATCTACGTTATTTTCAAGTTTAAAATTGCAAGAACACATATGTTAAATATTCAAAACATAAACATGGCTTCAGCCTGGCTTCACAAAGTGTGCGCACAACAGTCTGTCACATGTTCTAAATCCAAGTCCTAAAATGCTGAAGAATCAGCATAAAGTTCAGAGAGCACACTTTACTTTTTTATTCTTATTTTAAGACTGATTCTCATATCAAACTGCTCATGCCCAGACTTAATACAATGCCTGTGAGAATATTTTATTAGAACTTGTTCTCCCATTCCCCCTCTGAAGCTCAAATAATCCAATAATTTAAATAGTAATGCAAAGAGAGACTACAAGATGCTTACTGGCAATATCTCTTTCAATCCACTGCGCATAAATTCGTTTCTGATGTGAAGCCTAAAATCCAAGTCATCAGGAGATGTAACAAGAGCATTGATGAGCTGCATGCAAGCTACCTATAATAGAGGAAATATTAAACTATTTTATTTCTTAGATTTCAATATGCATCACAGTCAAAAAGACATGACAAACTATGAATTAGACTTTACATCATATCTAATCAATCTACTGTAATCTGACAATTAAGACACTGAAATTTCTTATCAACCACATAAGCTACAGACACCAAACACTACTTCACAAATGTCCATAAAAATGAAGTATTTTCTCACACCATTGAATTTTGATGTTTTATATAAATAGCAAGTTCCTTTAGTAAATTAACTTTAGCACAGAGTAAATACCTTAATCAGCATAATTCTTAACATATAAAAATCAATGTAAATATATATTTACAATACATACATAAAAAAGTTAGTGACATAATAGAAATGGTAAAGATTGTGTGAACAGTAGAAAATATAAGACAAAATGTGGATTAAACTAAACTGAGCCTGAAGAACAGAATGGGCTTTTCCCCCTTCTTTTAAAAATCTTCCCTTTTTCAATACACTGAGTGTCACAGAATACTTGATGGGGATCAGTACTTCAGCTCAAAAGCAAACATCAGGTCAACTAAGATGCCAGTATCAGTCTAGAGGTTTATCTGGAAAACCCATAGCCAGGAATTTTCAGGAATTCACCGTCCAGATTCACAAGCCTTTAGAACAATGGCAAGTTATTATTAATCATAAATAAAGGTAACAAAAGTCATTATTTCCTTTTTTTTCCCCCTCTCTTCCCCCCACTTATTATTGTTTGCACATCTTGCTTCAATGCACAGGAAAGGTGTTTCCAGCATTTTAAGGGTTTTTCTTAAATCACAAGTCAATTAGACTATGTCTTCTGGCCTAATATACTATGTAAACAAGTAAAGCAAACCAGTTTATATACTTTCTCTGTTTTAAAGCCTTTTCTCATCTAGAAAATGATGATGTATTATGCCATGGTCAGGCAAAAGGTGATATTGGGAACATACCGTATCAATCCTCTTCAAAGTACATATAATGCCAAATAATGACTTTACATATGGTCACCAGAAGAACTGAATGGCCAAAACACAACAGTACTCATTAGGTTTACAAGAGGAACATGGTAAGATTAAATGATAAAACAGTCTACACCCATGATCAGATATTTATCCTACTGCAAGGATTATAAGCATGAAAGTAGTTTCATATATTACTGTAACTAAACTGTTATGAAGGTGCACGGCAGCCAGCATAACCTAGGCCTACTTGACAGCAGTGTTAGCATACATAGATGAACTTTAGTTAATACTACAGGAGAAAGGAGTAGCTTAGCTCTAAGAACAGAGATGTAGCAAGTATAAACAACCTGTTAATCAGCATGAGAACTATGAAGCTGTTGAAAAAAAATCGAGTTAAGCAGAATGAGCTCCAGCAGGTGGATAGGGACCAAGTGTCCTTGAGAGAACAAGGACGCTCAAGGAAAGATGGTTGCAACCACTGGACTAACCCATCTGACACGTCTTCCGGAGAAAAGCTACCATGACAGCATCTATTGTTATATTGCTCCATCATACAACATACTTTGCATCAATAACAACTTCAGAACAGTAATAGGAGGAGGGAATAAGCTTTGCTCCTTCCCCTTACTTGAATGAAGAACTGAAATTAAGTTCTATTCCCTCAGAACTTCTATGAAACCCAGTACATGCAAATACCTAGATTTGCATACTAATAAAAAGAAAACTATTGCTTTTACTTTATTGACATCAACAAAGAAAAAAGCACACTAAATTCAATTATTTATATCAACCATATAAAAATGTTAAGATAGACTTGCCTAACTTATTCCAGTCTTAGACAATAATTATTCAAGTTATGACATCTAACCAAACTAAAAAAAAACACAAGGAAAAAAAATCAAAACTTTAGTGATTGAACAGGAAGCTGTATTAAAGCAGACAAAAAAAAACCCAGCTTGACGGATAACTTGCAAAAAGCAACGATCATTAACACATCTTTTTCTTTGAAGATAACAAAAGAAGGCAGGCAACCAGAGAACCTGTATGGTCAGTAAAAGATAACGATAAAAAGAAGTACCCAAAGAAAAGGAAGGCCACATCAACACTTTATCAAATGTTCTACTGGAGTGTGAAAGGAGTTCCCAAAGTAGAACAGACACACAAACAGGTGCAGGTGTTGGCAGAAGAACTTACAAAAGAAAGCCAACAATGAGAAGTCACCCAAAAGCGTGAGCATTTGCCCAAAATTTTGAAGAAAATTGAAGACAAAATAACTTAAGTACTTGCTATTGCATTTAAGTTCTTACTGAAAAGCATGTTGACACTCAAGAAAAGGAAGACAGCAGAAATTATATTGATATTTACAATATAATTGTAATTGGACATTTTTGGGAGATCTGGACAACTACAGACTGATAAAGCTTGACTTTTCTATAGAGCAAATATACTGAAAGTATAATAGAGAACAAAATTAATGAGTAACATGAGAAAAATGCAACATGAATAAATGAACAGCGTGAATAAATGCAACATGGCTTTGTAAAGCAAAGTCCTATTTCACAAACCCATGAAAGCTGTTTGAAAGGCTCAAGGAGCACGCAAGAATGCTCTGATTGGCCTAAGTCTGGACTTCAAAAAAGTAAAAAAAACTTTTTAAAATGTCAAAACCATCTAGAAAAATTTAGACAACAGTATGTTAAGCAGCCATATTCCAAAATACTACAAAATAGCACTAAATTTTATGTGTAGAAGTTTCTTTAAAAACAAAAAAATGTATTTGGCTGTATTATGGTTTATTGAAGCAATGTTTCCTTGCTACTTTTTCTCCTCGCTGTAAGTCCATTTTTTACTTTACGCTAATAAAGCATGTAACACAAAAAATTATTGAAAATATTAATAAAATTAAAAATAAGACATATATAAGGCTAGAAACTGCAAGGTAATGAAAGCTTGTTCATGTCTTTTCTCCATATGCTTTACAAAGAGATCAATTACAGCATCACCTAATGAGTAACAATAAAAAACCTACACATATTACAGAGGAATATACCTACAGTGTGTTTTCTTGCAGAAAGGTACTGGCAATATATTACTAGCAGTCAATTCTAAAAGAACTCAGTTAAATAGGAATATAGGTGACAGGACCATAACCTTGATCATTTTTTCTTAAATATAATATGTTCCCTTGAGAAATATCTTTCAGATTTGGGGCTTCTTTGAAATGATAAATAAGAAACAATCCTCAGTTATTAGTCTCTGGACAATCCACTTGGAAAGCTGCTAAATTGGTAACAATTTGGGGCTTTAACTGTCACAGTGGATTCTTCATCTTTGTAGTGCCTGAGACCTATTCTTACAACACTTTTCCCTGAAATATGTAATTTCCCTAATTTTATACAATTCGATTCTGTACGCATGTTTACAGTATTTTAGAAACCTAAATGAAAAGATAGTTAACTTATTTATTTTCTTCAAATAAATCCAAACAAAACCTTTGTATTACTCCTGAAGCCTGCTTCTGTGCATGTACTGTTTCTAAGAGTTATTCTAGTATTTCTAGTATCTTTGTTTGTTACTGTCAAAGTATCACTCTACACTAGGTAGCAAAAAATGGTGTTAACCCCCCAAAAGGAAACTACAAATACCAAAAGATAAATAAAATCCTTAGACTTACCTGCATCCAAATCCCACACAACAACAATAAAAAAAAGCCACCTAAGGTGCCCTGTTCACTTTTCAAAGGTGGACTGAATAAAACCTTCCAGTAATTGTCTTAGCAGCACCGAACAGAGGAGAAATTAGGACTCTCCTGTTGCACAACCAAGTATTTCTGGACATTGAAAAAGCTAATATACAATATTTGTCTGTCATATCCTTTAAAATCTTGTTCAGAACATGTGGCCTTGTAGCCTAGTTATTTTTGCTAGTAACAGGCTACAGGCTTTCTATTAAGCTAACACCACATGCTTCCAAGACTTGCCAGGCTTTTATCGAGACTTGGCAGCCCTGCCTGGAGCTCTCTTTTGGCTTATTTAGCTGCAAAAGGAATCATGTAGTAATGAATTGACTACCACCCCACTAGTTTTAGATTTTGCTTAGCCTTGTACAAGTCTATGGCACAGAGTTTACTGTTAAATACATTTCTGCAACTAGCAGATAGCAATATTACAGTAAATAAAATGCAGCATAGAAAAGTAGAGGCATGAGATGTGATCAGAGACGTGTGTTAGCACTACTGAGAGTAATTTCATTATACCATTTAAACTAACAACAAGTTCTTGGCTTTGAATGTAAAGTGTATTCCTTAAGCCCACAAACTGCACAAGTTGCAGTGTCAAAATGTGGTGGAGAATCTCATCAGCCTGATCTGTAACTTGGACACAACAAATGGTAGAAAATGCAGGCAACCAAACCAGTTAAAATTTAGTGCAACAATACCTTACTTACATAATAAGAGAATGTATTCTGTATGGGCTGTATTCTTTATTCTTAAACTGTTTTCTATTTGTTTTGGTGTAGGTCCGTTTTACCAAATCATCCACTTTATCAGCATTTGTATTTTTCTTCAGTAGCCGTGATGAAAATTTTTACTTCCTCTAATTTTGAGCTTATGTAGTTGAAACCTGTTATACCATCACTGACTTATCTCTCTGAAGTACTCAGCCTTTCATTCAATTGCATTTTCTTGATTCAATTAGCTCTGCCATTCAAAACCAGTAATTCAGTACATTGACAGACGCCAGCAACACCTGTACTCCTGTTAACATCAGTGAGGCATTTCAGTGACTGTAGACTTCATTGGACAACACCATCACACAGTCAGTAATAAAGTACAATACTGCAAGGTTGCATTTACATTTCAAATAGAGTCAAACTCCATGTTGTTTGATTACATCAGAATTGGAACCTTTGTCATTACTATCAGCAGTTTAAAACACAGTATATTTTCATGACTTTATGTGAATGAACTGCTAAGCAAGGAATCAGCATTTATCACACTTGATTTAAACTATCAATGAAGAGGCA